AAAAACTCAGGCATCATGTTATTCATTAAATACATATTGTTCCTGTTTCGGTATTGGCTCGACGGGCTGTCCGAAAATATGTGGACAGTGTGTGTGTTTGGGAATTCATTGGCCGATCTTTCCAATACTGGTCTCATGTGAGCCCATACTGCGTGGGCCTGGTGGTCCAGATTGTCTGAAGCTGTAGCAAAACAAAGTGGATCAACCTTGCTGTTGTCAACTGATGCATATCGGACGCCAGTATGAAGAGATATCTGTTTTTTGGAAGCTCCAAAATGTACAGATTGTACCTCAGACGCAAACTTTGCCACATAATTTTCGGAAAAATCAATCCTAAATACGAGTGTTCCGGTTTTAATGGAGTCAATAACTGTTCTTAGTGTTGAGGATTGGTGTTTATCATAATAAGTATGTTTTTTAAAAGCGTCAAGTTCCTTTTTCAGGTAAGATTTCATTTGTGTAATTCTCTTTCTCTCTGTAGATTTTATTGTTTTTTTGATTAATCTTACTTTGTCTTTTATTTTTCTCTTTTCTTCAACAGTTACCCATTTAAAAAATTTGACCGTGAAGTCGTCATGGGATTTTAGCTCAATTGTTTTGTTTTTACAATCTTTGCACTGTCCCAACATGCACCTTTCATTTTCTGTTGAGCACACGACAGATTTAATTAATTCATTGGGATTGCGTTCTTGAATAACATTTGTGTTCTTCAAAGCACTCACTAATAACTGCATGTTGGAGTGCTTAATACATGCACAGGTCTCTCTATCCGACATTTTCGGAAACGTGACCCAAAAGGGCCGTGCTCGGAAAAACGTAGAGCGTGATATTTTTGAATCAGTATTTTCTGCTAAAAACTTCTTGTGCAGATTTTCAATTGTGTCTAGCAGCACTCTACGTTGTTTTTTTGTGTTACCCTTCTTGACGAAATCCTTCTTGCCAGGACACATCCTACTCACTCTGTCATCCTCAAAAAACTTGACTAGCTCGGCAGATAGTTTGTGTTGGATACATTTTCTCTTGTTTCTAGAGTAGTCAAAAGAGGCCTCATTCGAAGCAAGATTCTTTTTGGTAGGAATCAAGTTCTTGAAATATTTCTGAACTCTGTACTTTTGAAAAACGTCTTTTCCAACAACTTTACGTATGATTTGTTTATTTTTCTTGGTTTTGGACACTTTTTTAAACTGTGTTTCAAGTTGTTTTTTTAACGTCAGTCCTAGAAATAATTGTTTCTTTATGTTAGGAGATATTTTTTCTTTTCCTACTATTTCTTTAACCTGTCTTCTCGGGGATGGGGTAGACATGACTTTTACCTTTTTCTTCTCTCTATGTAATCTCTTCTTATACTTCTCAATTTTTTTCTCCAATTCATGTATGCGCTCATTCTGTTTTTTTACGGTTCGATATACTTTGGCTTTATCTTTTCTAACTTGTTTTCTGCCCCTTTTCCTCTGTGCAGATTCATTTTCAACTCTGGTCTCAGGAGAATTTGGTGGAGTATCCTCAAGCATATTTTCTAGAGATTGTTTCTTTATTTTTTGTACACGGTGCCTTTCTCTCCAATACTTTCGCATCTTTCGTTGTTCTCTAGGAGTCATGTCACCTATTCTCTTCACCTTTTTCTCTTCTCTTAATTTGGCCATCCTTTCCCTATCGTATTTTTTCTTGGCTTCTTTCTGCTCATCTGTCATCCTCTCCAACTGTCTCTTTTTGCGGTTTCTGGCCAGCTCCTTTTGCCGTTCATATTTCTGTTTTTCCGAAAGATTCTTTTGCCGAACCATCTTCAAAGGAACTAACTGGAAAAAAAATCCTTATTTACCCTTAAATTATATTAATTAAGATGGGTTTTAATAAACACATACTCACAAGAACTAAAACAATAAAAAAAGCACGATTACTTGATATATAAACGGTAAAATCAAAGCCAATACGTTGGAATTGCTACCAGGCGGCATATATTTATTAATACAAAGTTAGAGTAAAATCACCAAAATAATTAATTTACCATGAAAATTAAAGAATACAACATAAATTAGCAATAAAATATTATACCCTAAACCTTATAGTTGTAAAAGAGCAACGACATTTAAAGTACAGCCAGTATTGCGCCAATCGTTCACGATATTCAACATCGTTCACGTGAACGACTGGAGCGTGAACGACTGGCAAATCTGATCTAAAATCTAGTCTATGAAAAGCTACATTTACTGCGTTGGCATCCAATTTGAGGTTAGGTTCTAGGCCTAGAAACATTGTCAGAATATGCAATCCTTTTTATTGTAAGTTGCAAAGTTTGTGAGTTATTAAAGTGAACGACTTGAATCTTAATTAAGGTACTGCTGCATTTCTTACCTGTTTATCAGTTCATTTCCAAAAATCTTCTTAAAATTCACAAAATTGTTCAGATGTGGCTACTGCGCAAACTCATCACAAGCACTAAAATGTGTTTTGCCGCCAAATTACGCATCGCCCCGTTTCGTCTAGAACCCATTTCGTCGAAACGTCTTTGACATGCTGTACCTTGGGGACTGCCTTTAGACAATTAAAAAAAAAGGTCCCCATAGTATTTAGCATTTTATTACTGCTTGTTATTGAGAGCAGACGATCTCCCGATGTTTATAGTTCCATTATATTGCAAAATTGTGAGGTTATGAAGTATTTATTTTTTGAGTGAACATTACGGCATTAGGCTGGGGACAGTGAACGACTGGCAAATTATGATAAACAGTCCTGCTTTTCTTGTTGAATAAATTATTATTAGGATCTAAAACTATGTTTGCTGGAAAGGTAAGGGGTTGGATAATAATAACAACACATTATTACTTAAAATAGTATTTTTATTTTGCATTTGTGCCCAGAGGACTTCAAAATCACCCATTATGTGACATTGACCCTTAAGTTCTGTTTCCATGTTCTGAATATAGTAAATACTGAATATGGTTGAATGCGTGAGAGGCTTAAAGGTTAGGTTAAGAAAAATGTTGTTTTGGAAGTACATAAATAGTAGGAGTTGACAATACCATCCATGGATGTAGACTTTGAGAGGGAGGTTATGTTTTGACACCTCGGTCACTTACCCTTGTCAGCTGTTGTGTCGCGTCCTGTCGGCTGCGCTCGAGACGGCAGGAGTTGGTGAATGACGATTTTGCTCGAGTAGTGTCGGCTGCAGTCGCTATAGCTCGGCTCCGTCCAGGGTTGATGCAGGGCGAAGGGGTTGTCCTTGAGGGGGTTGATTGACAGGCAGTAAACTGGCAGCTTTCTCCTCTTCGAGGTGTCCAATTTCAGCTCAAAAATTGTCACTAAATCTTTGCTATAGATGAACTGTATTCCACTTAACGAGTAATCCGGCTCGAAGGACCAAAAACTGTACGCACTGCGATGTACGCAGACGCACTGAATGTAATGACTTATGTAAATGTCATGTAATGAACTTGGTTGATGGAGCTGAAATATAAAACTGCTCCTGAAGTAAAACACTGTTTATTGAAAAATGATGATAATGCTACAGTATTAATTGTAATGAATAAATGAGAATATGTAACTTGAAACTTGTAATTTATACTTGATTGTAATATGTGACAAATAATTAAATTTAAATAAATGAAAATGACAATGAACATGACCGAAGGTTGGTGGCTTACTGACCTGTGCCACTTGCACCCCCGAAGCCCAGGGGTGGGCACAACACTTGCCGTTTTGGTGCGATCATAATTCATGATAGTTTTCAAGTTCCTTCACTTCATAAAATTTATCCTAGAAACAATGTTACCATTGTCTGGATTGCAACTGTCTTAAAATGTATTAAATTTACTCAGCAGCAACAAAACATAAAGCACAACCGCCTGTGTCGATGTTTTAGAAGAACTACCTCAGTCAGTGACAGAACGGTATATAAATCATTTGCCGAGCTTAGGAAGAAGTTTGATGATGTGATTACGCCAATTAAGACTAGTAAAGTTAACTTCGCCTTGGTTAGAAACTATGATGAACCATTTTATGAAGACTAGAGGTCGGCCAGTGGTCGAAAACTCGACCAAAAGTATTGAATGTACAGACTTCTCTATTTTCACCCCACGTTGTAAATAAAACATGAGGGTGATTGAAATTTCTTCTATTTGTTTTGACTTTTTGTTTATATTTCGTTGTTATTTCGTCACCAGCTTGGCAACCCATATGGTCTGTGTTAATTTTTTTAAATTTTTAATTCATTTTTGGGCTTATATTTGAGCCTATTTTAATTTATAAAGGGATTCTGCACACCTAATAGCTTTCCAACAGTAGGCGTAGATTTCCCCTAAGATGCACACAAACTGAGAAAAAATGTTTTAAAGAAACATGCTTGCCTATTAATATAAAGATTTTGTGAAAATTATAGTACGGTACAGTAAAACTCCAACAATCCATTCACCAACTATTTGACTATTCACCAACTATTCACAACTATTCACCATTCACAACAACAACTATTTCACAACTATTCACCAACTATCGCTCAATGTACTTACGCCACTGGTTGTGTGCGATTGTGGTGAATGCGTGTATTTTCTTAGCAAAATCTTTGTACATGTAACCTGCCATGGCGATACTAATATATTGGCTTAACTATACCTAATTTGTATAAACCTCGAATTTCAGTAAAACTCCAACTATTCAAATTTTCTATCATCTGAATGTGGTACGGTACGAATTATTTCAGATACTTGGAGTTATCCTCGTAGTACTCATTGTATTCCAAGTTGTTCTCCTACATATCCATGGATTGAGCATTCTATTTAATTTTCACAAATTTTGAATATTTGAAAATCTGTTTACAATTAGTTAATCTTAATTTTTTCTTCTAATATTTCTACTTAGTTAATTTATTTTAGTCTGGTCCTGAGAAGTGTTTACATCACTGTTGCTCCCCACTACTATGCTAAGCCAGCACCTTGCCAACTGTTATAAGTGTACCTGTGTACTGAATAACATATGTTATACCCCCAGGTGCTAGATGGAAAGAGATGTCTGACTATGAGAAGCAACCGTTTTATGAGGAACAGAAAAGATTGATGAGAGTTCACATGGAACAGCATCCGGACTACAGGTACAGACCTCGACACAAACGTTCTCACATCAGGACTCCTCACCCACCCACGAGTAGCATCACATAGAATCATTCATCACATGTAACTAGTGTTTGTAAAAAGTGAAATTGCAAGAGTTAATGAAAAGAATGCATTCCACAATGCCCATTCCTCAGTTCGTAAAAGAATAATATTTGCCTAGCAAACCTCAATTATTGAAAAAAACCGCCTTCAAAATTATTTCAGTTAGGCATGTCTAACATCAAATAAACCGTTGATTTTATTATTAACAATAAATCTGATTAAATATTTCAAACCAATACTAAGATAAAATAGGTTGCACAGGTAGATTAATTAGGTATGCAATCTATTTTATCATTGTTACATCAATCCTGGGGCAAATATGATTGAAACTAATTTAGGGCTTGAATTGTTATATCAGAATTTCCACAACAATTTATACTGACATTTACAGTACTTGCATTCAGATTTTTCAACACTACCATTATTTAATTTTCACATTTTCACCACTAGTTATTATGTGATTTTTTATATTTATATAAAAATAACTTAAGTTTTTAAGCTCTAAACACATAAAATGTGTCTGGCTGTATTTTTAGTTGTTATCAAGACGAGAAACGTCTTTTTTGTGTTGCTAAGATATTGAACAACATAATATTGAACTAAACTGTGCCATCACTTTTGGTATATATAAGACAAACTCGATGATGAACCTAAGATTAGGGATATCATACAAGATTCAACCAAAGTACCAGCAGTAATTTTGTTATAGTATGTATATGAGGGATCTAAACTAAACTTCAACTTTAAAACAGCAGTTTTTGTATGAAAAAAGAGTAAAGGCGATTGTTAAAATAAACATTTTTTGATGGAGCTTAATAACATTGACCCGTCCAAAAAGTCTTGTTAAAGTTGCAAAAGTTAGCCTTAAGCTACGGTTTCCAGGAACACGCTAGCGATCTGTTTGGCATGATGTATGTTGGCGCTAATTTTCGTCCGTGGGATGTCCGACGATATCCGGCAAGAGGGTGGTTTGCAAGAAAGCGGACATTCTCATGTTTTTTCACACGGTTATTTCTCTTGGGAAATGAACTATGAGCTAGTTGTCAGCAATGACAAAAAATTGCATATAAATGAGAAATTTACAAATAGACTAAATGTATCATATAATCAAAACTGTTAGAAATAACATCGGAGTTATTAAAACACCTTTAAAGTCCTTAAAATAAGTAAAATAAAAATAAAAACTACCAAACATAGCTCCATAATCCGGATCTATAAACAAAGAGACACGTAAAAGTAGTTTTGGTAAATAAAAAACACACCATTGTTCAAAGAAGTTGGATTTTATTGCAATCACACTTAAATAATCTAAGTGTGATTTTTAAATTTTTACAAAAGTGTTCAACTCCTCGAGGGTTGGATCGAAAGCATCTTGAACGTCATTTGGTGAACTGTAATTATTGTAGGACGAAGAAGTAGCACTGCTGATGTTGTCACTAGGGGTATGCAGGGTATGCACTCGAATGTTTGGGGGGAAATGGTTGTACGCTGTAAGTAAATTGGGGAGGCCAGCTGTAGTAGCAGGGGAGGGGCAGTTTGCTGGATGGCACGATTCCAGGTCAGTTACCACTTGGCAAACCTTCATTCTAGCCTCCGCAATGAGGTGGGGAGGGAAAAACTGAACAACTTCTGCCATTTATGACAAAATTTATCCACAGCATGTTCTTTCACTGGATTTTTAAACAAAATTTAAAACAGTGTTAGTTGTCACAAAACAAAATAGAGTCCTACACCTGCCCGCTCGGCTTGCACGCCAAAGATGACCGTGGGTCATCTTCAGCTGCCACGCTGAGGACTCATGCCAGACAGATGGCGGAAAAACTCATGTCCAGCGTGATCGCTCGTGCTTGGAAACCGACCCATATGGGTCTGGCTTCAACTTGGGTTGGGCATGGCTTCAACTTAAACTTTATTACATAATCTTGCTTGTTCCACTCACACTGTCCGTACGGCGTGATCTTGGAAACCCTAGCTTTGAAAGGATGATGATATCGTTCATAACTATTGGGTACTTTTTTTATAAGTTTTATTTGTTTATTTACATTATTTGCTATATGCTCTCGAATCTGAATTACAAATTTTGTTGATCCAGCCTAGTTCAATTTCATAACAATAGAGTGTAATGTTTTCTTTTGTTTTATTTTTTAGTTACAGCGTAACACTTAGTTGAGATAATGCTCAAAATGTTAACACATAACTTTAGAGGTACTGTAGAATACCCACCATTGTATTCAGGCATTCAAAGTATTCTTAACACTTTTGTTTATGGTAATTCCATAATTTCAATTTGCAAAAGTTAAATAATGAGATTTTTTGTGTTGGAGAGTAGTCTACCCCTAGAGTTTACATTTCAAGAAAGAAAAAAATGCATACCAACCCATAATTGAGTCCCATAAACTCAAGATATTGGTTTATAATTTGGATCCTTTTAAAGGAATAATCATTTAACTAAAATCATTAATTTGTGTAATTTCATTATCAGCTGTGTTTTTTTGTTTATTTTTACTTTTTTCTTCTTTAATGTAAAATGGCACTTTTAAATTATTACTAAATATATTTAAAACTTTATAACTACTAATAGCAGTGTTAAAAATTTGTATGAGCCTAGGACTTGATTTTTAAATTCCTTAAAAGCATTGCACTGTTAAAATACTAAACGTGTAATTAAAAAAACTTGAGTTCAATTATCAAGAAGGCCTACTGCATTTTATAACTGTATCATATGAGCATATGAACAAAAATAACACTAAACAATATTTTGCATCAAACAATTAAATATAAAATGATTTAAAATACCTGCACACTCCTTGGTTTGGGTTTATAGTAACTAATTACAGTAATTAGGGACCATCTTCATTCCATTACATATTTTACATTATTAAACTTAACAATTTTCTGCTCTAGTGTTTTTATTGGTTGAGAATACAGTATATGATTTAGTAGGTTTTTTTTATATTAATACCAATTGAAATAATTAAGTATCCTCTTTACCATGGCCGATTTTAATTAATTTTTTACTAAGGGTAATGACTGACCAAGTGTTATTCCGCTCTTGGCTTAGTCTAATAATAATTTATCATATTACAGGTTTACAAAAAACTAGCACAATTTTTGCTAGCCTATATTATTTAGATTAGTTATTTATTTTTGTAACGTGGTTTATAAAAAAAAATTGGTAATGAAAGAGTGGGGTTTTCATACGAGTTCTGTAATACAATGTTTTTTCTTTGGTGATTGTTAAAGATATTATCAGTTTAACTCAATCATTTTACTTTTAATTACAAGGTAAAATGTTGAATATTTGGTGTTCTGATCATGTGTAATGTTTAATTATAATATATTTTGAATGTAGAAAAAAACCATGACATACTTATATCTCATGATAGGTATAGAAGAGATTCCAAGTCAATTTTTCCAGAAGCGGAATATTTTTATGTATTCATTCACTTATTCAACCGGAATTTCATATAGCTGTTGTTTGATTAAAATCAAAAAACTATGTATATTTTTCCATTTAATATTATTGTTAATTTTGTTTGATTTATCTTCTTGTTACCTTGTCTTATTACTCCTGAGCCAGTTTATTTTGATGATGGTGCTATCAAATATATTTTTTTTCAATACCGTTTGGTCAAAATAGGTAAAAGTTATCACTTTTCTTCAATAAGATTTATCAACCTATTTTTTAACATAGATATAAGAACAGTGCCATTTTTATGTAGATCTTTACTTAAATCAATTCTAAATTGTAGTCAAATCAGCCACGTATTATAATTTAAATGAGTTAAGGAATTTTACCATTTCCATTTCTGTGTATTTTTCACTCTGGGTCTAAATGTCTTAAAAGGGTTGTATAGCTCTTTTCCAACGGTTTAAAATAAATTTTACAATTTCTTTGTGTCTTTTACACACTCTTGATACTAACAATTTTTTATCCAATTACTAGGGATTAGCTGTATCAGACAGGAATGGAATTTATGTGTGTTATTTTAGCAACCTCTATAATACTCTATATGATTTTCTCTAACCCTAAATCTTCCAAATTACATTAACTGCATAGCACTAACCGATTGGAAAAATCGAAAATGTTCTATTCTTTTTATTTAAAAGATAAATATAGAATCACAAATCTGGTTGAGATAAAAAAATATAACACTCTGGTCATCTTGCATGGAAAAATACAGTATAATAATCCTTTTAGATACTTAACTCTGCAAAAACGAAAAAAACAAAAATAGCCACAATCGTCATTTAGTCATTCATTTGATTTTGAAAACTTTAATCTTAACAGGGTCGTTGCCATCTAAAATAATGTTTTAGTTCTAATATTATTAAATTAATAGGTATGGTATGTAACATTAATTAGTTGTCTTTCATGTCGTTTTATGTAATTGTGTAGTCTTTACAATCAAAATGTTGTAATGAGTTAAAATTTTGCAATTCTAAGAACTTGTTACTTACTCTATCTTGTATGAATTCATTAAAAATAATGATGCTTTACAAGATAACTATGTATGTATTGTACTAAATTATATACTGTTATGGTTACAAATAATGGTGCAAGTAAGAAACATAGGTGTGATTTTCTAGTCATAGGCTGACGTCACCCAGATTGCAAACAGAAAATTAGCTGGTTGTAACTACCATAAGTATATATTTGTTTTGATTTGATTATTATTGTTTTTATATTTTTTCTAAAGAGTGAAATGGTGTTTGCAATCTGGGTGGTGTCAGCCTATGACGGAAATATCACACCTATGTTTCTTCCTTTAACCATGGTTACAAATATGGTCAATGACTAAATATGATAAGAAAGAACAAATGCTTGAATACACTTTGTGGCAGTGTAGAGTAGAGAAAAACATCAGCTCCTCATCAACCGTGATACACCAGCTAAACCTCTGGTTTGAATAATTTATTTAGATAATTTGAATGTTGTAATCAGCTGTATTTGATCAAAATATTTTCAACTAATACTTAGAGGTCAGGAAACATTGTAGGCCTCATCCTTGTTCGCTTCGAGAAAGATAAAATTTAGTTTTAAATCCCTCAGTTCAAAAAATGTTCGCTTGGAATACTCCTGGTATAATCATAACAATTATTAATCAGTACACACTTTTATAGTATTTAAATATAACCAAACAAATTCAAAATCTGACAACCATTTTTCCCCAGCTGCAAATAAATGTGTTTTGGATAACTATGATGGCAATTTGTAACCTCATTTTATTTCTTTACATCAAAGTACTGATTAAATTCTAAACTTTTACAAAAAATTAACAAATTAGTATAACAATAAGGTGCTGTATTTTAATATTGTAATTTAAAAGTATTTTTCACTTTCTCTTATTTTGTTACTTATATGATTTTTATTTAGGTATAATAGTGTAAAATCTATATATTGTTGTTTTTATTGTTAACTTTTAAAGTGTGTGGTTAGGTAAATAAATGGTTTTTAATAACTCTGTAATGCTCATTTATTAACCCATTATAAATATCATCACTTAAATAACAGAAGCACTCTTAGCTATAGTAAAAAATAAAATGTACGTACATTTTGCATTACCAAAACCCAGAAATTGATATTGAATAAAATGAAAGGTGGTATAGAAACAAAGTAGTCCCACACTGTCAGAACCAATGCACACAATTCTTGAATTCAAAAATGAGTTGCGTTAACACTTTTTAATTTACATAGGTTCAGTGTAAAAGAAAATTTACATTTGGATACAAGTCCAATATAAACAGACTCAATGAGTTCTTAGGTTTGATGCTATGAGGAGAACACATATTTAGTTTATTTGGTTAGTTAATTATAATAAAAGCCTACCATGGATATACAAAATCTTGGCAAACATTATGAAGTTTTATCTGTGATCAAGCAATCTACATCTGTCAGTTGAGCGTAGCAAAATCATAAAACCTTATGCATCATCACTTGTTTAACTCTCTCCACGTAATCTCTTTCAAGAGGACTGGAGAGAGTATTAAGTACCAATATCTATACAATTTTACAAATCCCCTGAGAAATAGTACCATACGATCTCACAGTTGTAATCAAATTTCAAATTCTTATTGCAGAAATATTCAAAATTATAACACAAGTGAACTTGAGCGTTGCTAGTGTGAGTGAACGATTGACCACATCTTGATCTTAGTGTCTATATTTATAGATGATTTATTAAACATCAGTAAAGCCGGGTTTTCCTAGACGTAAAACGCAAAGTGAAGAGAAGCGATTAAAATGGTGGTTGGCTCTGCCTCTAGAAAAGCAGTACAGTTAAATTATCTAAGACAAGAGAAGAATGGACACTGCGATGCGCTTCCGTGCCAAGGGAAACCCAGCTTAACATTAATTTAAGCTAATGGAAACTAGGTAGGCCTATAGTACCATTAAAAGACAGAATTTACTCCCTCCACACTTCTTTAAACTGTCTCAAATTTTCTTAAAACTTTTTCTCCTTTCGCTGCCAGGATTTCTTCAATGTTCCTACCTTGCGGGTTTTTGAACCAATCTAAGTTGTCAGCTATCAAATGTAATTTCTTACATCCGTCACACCTTACAATAACTATTCCGTTTTCATAAGCGTGTTTTGATATCACCTTATCATTTCTAGTTTCACATTTTTTACAAGTGAACACTAGCCTCATTTTTGTATCTATCTTCCCTAGCGCTGATGGATCTGTTTCAACCACACCAGCAGCAAAACGCAGGGAAGAGTTGTGTTGGTCGGTGACTTTTTGAGACATCAAATTGGAATGTAAAGAAATATTTGGCTTTATAGACTCGACAGAACTCCAGCCAAATATAGTTAACAGACAGAGGATTCTTGGGGTAGCTGCAATTTAAAAGATTTCATCAAGAAATACAGCAGTAAGAAAGTGTTAAGAAAGTATGTATGAACATAAAAAAATAAATT